TATATACGCTAATCGTGAAGATTACGTTCTATAGCTTTCAGACTCTATTGGCGTAGAGAATGGACGATGTGGAGGTGAGAACGGTGACTTTATTTCGACTCTTCTTTGGCGAAGGTAGTTAATTACAAAGCTAAGTTTGGCTTTTCTCATCTGAACTTTTATTTGAGTAATAAACTTCAGTTTTCAGTTTTTGAGGTTTTTATCAGGATTATTAATAATTTTTGGTTTGCTAGGCTTCTCGAAGAGTAATTATATGGATGAAACTGTGAAGAAATGCAGAGAGAGCAGTCCACTCAAATTAGCACAATTAAATATTAAAGACAATGTTCTCTAGTACTTCCGACAAATTTGTCAACATTGGTTCCTATATTAGGCAGCTTGGTAACTGTTATACTCAAGGAGGTGCCAGTTCTAAAAGCAGAAGACAAGGCCATTACTCAAAGAGAGCTCTTCACTCAAATTTGCAAAATTTTTTTTTTACCAAATATGAAGTCTAATAGATGTTTCAGACAATTTTCTCCAGTACTTAAGTCAAATTTATCAGCTTTGGTTCCGATATTAGGCAGATTGGTACTGTTAGACCCGTATAGGTAGTAATTCATAAAAAATACATTCGCCTTACTATTTCCTGACAACCTATTTCCTCTATGAGGACTTTAAGTCGAGGTGGATCGAAAGTTACTGGAATCATAGTTTCGATCAAAACATAGCAAGAAGGAATACGGGAAAACCTAAATCTGCTTTATATCCAAATATTCAAAATCTAAAATTTCTCTCAGTGCACACAATTATCATGTATACATGAATTTATCTCTAAGTATCTAACTAGTATCTATGTTGGCATATGTATTTAGTAAAAAAAAAAAAAAAAAAACTAAAGAAAAAAGCATAAGACTTCAAATAAATGAATGGCTACATAGTGACTACTAAATGAAATGAATGCAATACTAAAATACTAAATTCTGAATGCATTTGCTAAAGCCACAATACTATTTTCTAAACAAAAAATAAAAACAAAAAAACATATTATGTTTCACACAAATGAATCTCTATGCAGGAATAGAAAACAAAAAAGATAAAATGTTGGAGAAAAAAATATATAAAGATAAAAAAAAAACCTAAAAAACAAAATCACAAAATGCATTTCAAAAACACACATACAACTAGAAGGTAACATACTAAAATAGGAAAAGAAGTATTTTGTAATAGTGTGTTTGTTATGAAGAAGATACCAAATACCAAACAACTACCAAGTATATTTGCCACATCCCCAAGACACTTGCCGATGCATTGCACTACTGCATCTGCAATGCGCAGTATAATTTATGTTACAAATATTTACCGAGATTTATGACAGGATTTTCTTACTTCATTCATTCATTCTTCTACGTTCATTTATTGTTCTACTTCATATCTTTCTTCTCAATGTACTAGCAAACGGAAGAAATGCATAAGTAAGTACTTATTCTAGAACAGGATGTTAGAATATTTGTTTTTTTGTTGTTGTTGTTGTTGCTCTTCTTCTCCAAATATGGTCCATATCTTTTCTTTAGTAAAAGGCTTAAGTAAGACTTTTTGAAGTAATATAGAAAAAATGCATTTAAATGTGGATGCTGGCTTGGGAATGATCTTTATTGACTAGACTATAGACTAGACTATAAACTAGACTATAGACTAGACTATAAACAAGAATATAGACTAGACTATAGACTAGATTATAAACTAGACTATAGACTAGACTATAAACTAGATTATAGACTAGACTATAGACTAGACTATAGACTAGACTATAGACTATAGACTAGACTATAGACTAGACTATAGACTAGACTATAGACTAGACTATAGACTAGACTATAGACTAGACTATAGACTAGACTATAGACTAGACTAGACTAGACTATAGACTAGACTATAGACTAGACTATAGACTAGACTATAGACTAGACTATAGACTAGACTATAGACTAGACTATAGACTAGACTATAGACTAGACTATAGACTAGACTATAGACTAGACTATAGACTAGACTATAGACTAGACTATAGACTAGACTATAGACTAGACTATAGACTAGACTATAGACTAGACTATAGACTAGACTATAGACTAGACTATAGACTAGACTATAGACTAGACTATAGACTAGACTATAGACTAGACTATAGACTAGACTATAGACTAGACTATAGACTAGACTATAGACTAGACTATAGACTAGACTATAGACTAGACTATAGACTAGACTATAGACTAGACTATAGACTAGACTATAGACTAGACTATAGACTAGACTATAGAACTAGACTATAGACTAGACTATAGACTAGACTATAGACTAGACTATAGACTAGACTATAGGACTAGACTATAGACTAGACTATAGACTAGACTATAGACTAGACTATAGACTAGACTATAGGCTAGACTATAGACTAGACTATAGACTAGACTATAGACTAGACTATAGACTAGACTATAGGACTCGACTATAGACTAGACTATAGACTAGACTATAGACTAGACTATAGACTAGACTATAGACTAGACTATAGACTAGACTATAGACTAGACTATAGACTAGACTATAGACTAGACTATAGACTAGACTATAGACTAGACTATAGACTAGACTATAGACTAGGACTATAGACTAGACTATAGACTAGACTATAGACTAGACTATAGACTAGACTATAGACTAGACTATAGACTAGACTATAGATAGACTATAGACTAGACTATAGACTAGACTTATAGACTAGACTATAGACTAGACTATAGACTAGACTATAGACTAGACTATAGACTAGACTATAGACTAGACTATAGACTAGACTATAGACTAGACTATAGACTGGACTATAGACTAGACTATAGACTAGACTATAGACTAGACTATAGACTAGGACTATAGACTAGACTATAGACTAGACTAGACTAGACTATAGACTAGACTATAGACTAGACTATAGACTAGACTAGACTACTATAGACTAGACTATAGACTAGACTATAGACTAGACTATAGACTAGACTATAGACTAGACTATAGACTAGACTATAGACTAGACTGTAGACTAGACTATAGACTAGGACTATAGACTAGACTATAGACTTGACTATATACTAGACTATAGACTAGGACTATAGACCTAGGACTATAGACTAGACTATATACTAGACTATAAACTAGACTATAAACTAGACTATAAAACTAGAATATAGACTAGACTATAGACTAGACTATAGACTAGACTGTAGACTAGACTATAGACTAGACTATATACTAGACTATAAACTAGACTATAAACTAGACTATTAAACTAGAATATAGACTAGACTATAGACTAGACTATAGACTAGACTATAAACTAGATTATAGATTAGACTATAGACTAGACTAGACTATAGACTAGACTATAGACTAGACTATAGACTAGACTAGACTAGACTAGACTAGACTATAGACTAGACTATAGACTAGACTATAGACTAGACTATAGACTAGACTATAGACTAGACTATAGACTAGACTATAGACTAGACTATAGACTAGACTATAGACTAGACTATAGACTAGACTATAGACAAGAATATAGACTAGAATATAGACTAGACTAGACTATAGACTAGACTATAGACTAGACTATAGACTAGACTATAAACTAGACTATAGACTAGACTATAGGCTAGACTATAGACTAGACTATAGACTAGACTATAGACTAGACTATAGACTAGACTATAAACTAGACTATATACTAGACTATAAACTAGACTATAAACTAGACTATAAACTAGACTATAAACTAGACTATAGACTAGACTATAGACTAGACTATAGACTAGACTATAAACTAGACTATAAACTAGACTATAATCTAGACTATGGACTAAACTTTAGACTAGACTATACCCCATACTATAGACTAGACTTTATAATCTAGAATTCGCAGCGCGAAAGAGTATTTGTAGAATATTGTCTACAATTTTTTGTTGCGAGAAATTTCTGCCAAGGATTACTAACTTAGAAACCCTATAGTTCTATAAATATGTGACATTTATTATTTTAACCCAGACTTCCCGGATTCTGTAATTTACTGTCTACCAGTTTATTGTTGTTGTTTTATTTATGCAACAAAATCTATTCGTTTGTAATCAACAAAACATTTTAACAATATGTAGGTTTTTTCTTTAAATTTTTTTCATTTGCATTTCCATTGGAAAATGATTTGCATTCTTGTTCCTGCAGCCGAAGAAAAGAAAATAGAAACATAATTTATAAAATGAAAAGTAGATAGAAGTTTAAATGAATTTATTTGCATTTTCTATTTGTTTTCTTCTTCCTTCTGCTCGGTTTAGTTTTGTGTTGATTAAATGCCTGTACCGCCTGCCTGAATGCTAGTTGACTGTTTGTCGTCTGCCCGTATAATTGGGAGCGGGTTAAAAAACTCGCTTCAAGGAGTAGAACTATGTTGGCGGGATATAAATTGTTTATAATTAATTTCAAAAGAATGTTTGATGTCAATTCTGGAATATTTATTTAGTGATGCCTCTATGTTGGGAGCGAGATAACAGGGAGTTTTTCTATTTGAGAGATTCAACAGGAGTTGAAGGATATTTTAGAATTTGCGTCATATTGTCTTCGTTTTGTTTTTTGTTCAAAATAAAAGAAAAATATTATGTAAATTAAACTTAAGCTAAAAAATTGGAAAATATACCGCTAAATAAGATACAGTTAATAAAAATAACTGTTATATTCATGCATGTATTAACCGATAATGCAGGGCTCCACTCTTTTACAATTTTCGAATTATTTTCTGTGAAGCTGTTTCAGCTTCCTATCTCAAGCAAACTCTTTTTAATTACTTATGAAAAGCTGATTACTGTCGGATATTTCTTTAGCAATTCAAGAAGTAAATTTTTATTAATCTTTTATTGAATTTATATTATTTTCTTAATAAACAACTTTATGATATTCTTCATTCTTTACAGTCACAGTATGGGCACAAATCCACAGCAACACCATCACCACCTACACCAGTACCACTACCATCACAAGCAACAACAGCAATTCACAAAATTTCCACAACAACAACCATCGACAACGACGTAGCACCGGAAGCAGTAGCTCCAACAATATTCCATCGGTTAGCGAGAACAGTGTTTTGTATTTAACACCATCGCAACCATCTATACCACATTTTGTGAATGCTTCCTTTATAATATTTTGCAATACAAAACAACGAACGATTGCAACAACAGATGCAACTGCAGCATCGTCGTCTTCATCATCATCACCATCAGCATCTTTATCGAATACAGTACAAACAGATATTGAGACTAAATGGAAAGATCCCAATGGTGTGGTGCGTGAGAATACCAAAGGTCGTGTTCATGTTGAAAAAAGAGGAGGTAAGTGCAATTGGTGTGTTGCTACACAATAGAATTGAAAGAACTGGGTTTCAAAAGTTGAGTTTTTCAGTTGGTTTAGGTTCCTTCGGGATCCAAGTAGTGGCTGTGGTTTAAACCCAAATTCGCAAGAAGGGGCGCTTGTTTCTGTTTCTTAGTTTCTAGGAGCAGTACAAACCACAGGGTAAGGCTATCGATTAATTGGGTATGAGTTGATATACGATGTACCATCGGATACTTGTATCTGATGGATGTGGGGGATTCTGAGTTGTTTTTGACATGTGATCGATAATGTGAGATGATTTGTGGAGCTGATAATACCTTAATCTTTAATTTTTTGGCGGTTTTCCTTCATGGTTGGGTGTGTTGGTGTTTTCTCTTAAACATTGTGAACTTATCACAGTAGGTCCTTTTGGCGCTGAAATAACTCTTGTCAATCAATATGGATCCGTACTATGTACCACCAATTACGTTCCTAGGTGCTGTTACCGAAACAACTGAGCCATCTCAGTAGTGTGGTTGTGCGCTTTTAAGAGGTTAAGAAACGTACTGCGGTGAGTCTTTAGATATGAGGATGTGGGAATGAGTGAAGTGAGCATTCTTCATAGTATCAATATGGGTACGCCCCTTCTATTGGCTCTAAACTAGTGATTGCCTTTCCCTAGTCGGGATATATATTAGGCTTGTCTCATGATACCTGTCATTCCTACAATGTCAAGATATTAGTACTTCAGAAAAGTGCCTGTATATGGACCGATAGAACCATGTACAAAAATTGCCACCTGTGAAAGACAAACACAAAAGGGCAGTGGTGAGTCGACAATTAAGCTCACCCTGTGGATAAAAAGAAGCTCGTCCGTCAATGCAGTTATTCACGTAAAGCTAGGTTAGGTTAGGATAGTTGTTATCGTCCGATGTTCAGAAATTATTTCTTGGAAGTGGTTCCTTAAAATTGTCCAATCAATTCTAATTCAGTTCAGTTCTATTTCAGTTCTAGTTCAGTTCTAGTTCAGTTCTAGTTCAGTTCTAGTTCAGTTCTAGTTCAGTTCTAGTTCAGTTCTAGTTCAGTTCTAGTTCAGTCTAGTTCAGTTCTAGTTCAGTTCTAGTCCAGTTCTAGTTCAGTTCTAGTTCAGTTCTAGTTCAGTTCTAGTTCAGTTCTAGTTCAGTTCTAGTTCAGTTCTAGTTCAGTTCTAGTTCAGTTCTAGTTCAGTTCTAGTTCAGTTCTAGTTCAGTTCTAGTTCAGTTCTAGTTCAGTTCTAGTTCAGTTCTAGTTCAGTTTCTAGTTCTAGTTCAGTTCTAGTTCAGTTCTAGTTCAGTTCTAGTTCAGTTCTAGTTCAGTTCTAGTTCTAGTTCAGTTATCAGTTCAGTTCTTCTAGTTCAGTTCTAGTTCAGTTCTAGTTCAGTTCTAGTTCAGTTCTAGTTCAGTTCTAGTTCAGTTTCTAGTTCAGTTCTAGTAGTCAGTTCTAGTTCAGTTATAGTTCTTCTACGTTCTAGTTCTAGTTCTAGTCAGTCTAGTTCAGTTCTAGTTCAGTTCTAGTTCAGTTCTAGTTCAGTTCTAGTTCAGTTCTAGTTCAGTTCTAGTTCAGTTCTAGTTCAGTTCTAGTTCAGTTCTAGTTCAGTTCTAGTTCAGTTCTAGTTCAGTTCTCGTTCAGTTCTAGTTCAGTTCTAGTTCAGTTCTGTTCTAGTTCAGTTCTAGTTCAGTTCTAGTTCAGTTCTAGTTCTAGTTCTAGTTCAGTTCTAGTTCAGTTCTAGTTCAGTTCTAGTTCAGTTCTAGTTCAGTTCTAGTTCTAGTTCTAGTTCTTTCTAGTTCAGTTCTAGTTCAGTTCTAGTTCAGTTCTAGTTCAGTTCTAGTTCAGTTCTAGTTCAGTTCTAGTTCAGTTCTAGTCAGTTCTAGTTCAGTTCTAGTTCAGTTCTAGTTCAGTTCTAGTTCAGTTCTAGTTCAGTTCTAGTTCAGTTCTAGTTCAGTTCTAGTTCAGTTCTAGTTCAGTTCTAGTTCAGTTCTAGTTCAGTTCTAGTTCAGTTCTAGTTCAGTTCTAGTTCAGTTCTAGTTCAGTTCTAGTTCAGTTCTAGTTCAGTTCTAGTTCAGTTCTAGTTCAGTTCTAGTTCAGTTCTAGTTCAGTTCTAGTTCAGTTCTAGTTCAGTTCTAGTTCAGTTCTAGTTCAGTTCTAGTTCAGTTCTAGTTCAGTTCTAGTTCAGTTCTAGTTCAGTTCTAGTTCAGTTCTAGTTCAGTTCTAGTTCAGTTCTAGTTCAGTTCTAGTTCAGTTCTAGTTCAGTTCTAGTTCAGTTCTAGTTCAGTTCTAGTTCAGTTCTAGTTCAGTTCTAGTTCAGTTCTAGTTCAGTTCTAGTTCAGTTCTAGTTCAGTTCTAGTTCAGTTCTAGTTCAGTTCTAGTTCAGTTCTAGTTCAGTTCTAGTTCAGTTCTAGTTCAGTTCTAGTTTCAGTTCAGTTCTAGTTCAGTTCTAGTTCAGTTCTAGTTCTAGTTCAGTTCTAGTTCAGTTCTTTCAGTTCTAGTTCAGTTTAGTTCAGTTCTAGTTCAGTTCTAGTTCAGTTCTAGTTCAGTTCTAGTTCAGTTCTCTAGTCAGTTCTAGTTCAGTTCTAGTTCAGTTTCTAGTTCAGTTCTAGTTCAGTTCTAGTTCAGTTCTAGTTCAGTTCTAGTTCAGTTCTAGTTCAGTTCTAGTTCAGTTCTAGTTCAGTTCTTTTCAGTTCTAGTTCAGTTCTAGTTCAGTTCTAGTTCAGTTCTAGTTCAGTTCTAGTTCAGTTCTAGTTCAGTTCTAGTTCAGTTCTAGTTCAGTTCTAGTTCAGTTCTAGTTCAGTTCTAGTTCAGTTCTAGTTCAGTTCTAGTTCAGTTCTAGTTCAGTTCTAGTTCAGTTCTAGTTCAGTTCTAGTTCAGTTCTAGTTCAGTACTAGTTCTAGTTCAGTTCTAGTTCAGTTCTAGTTCTAGTTCAGTTCTAGTTCAGTTCTAGTTCAGTTCGTTCAGTTCTAGTTCAGTTCTAGTTCTAGTTCAGTTCTAGTTCAGTTCTAGTTCAGTTCTAGTTC